ACAACTCTGACATCATAATCAAAAAGGCTGACAAAGGAGGTGCTGTTGTCATCATGAATAGGTCGGAATATGAATAAGAGGCTGCTCGGCAGCTCTTCAACACGAGTTTCTACAAGCCACTACCCTATGATCCCACTGAGAGTTACCAAAAGCAACTACAGCATTTGCTCAAGAAACTTCCTGAAAAAGCACAAGATCAAATCCGCACAGACACACCCCTGGAACCCCGACCTGGGATATTCTATTTACTACCCAAGATCCATAAACCTGGAAATCCTGGGCACCCCATCATCTCAGGCATTGGCACCCTGACAGCAGGATTGTCTGGCTATGTAGACTCCCTCCTCAGGCCCTACGCTACCAGCACTCCCAGCTACCTTCGAGACACCACTGACTTCCTGAGGAAACTTCAATCCATCGGTGATCTTCCTGATAACACCATCCTGGCCACTATGGATGTAGAAGCCCTCTACACCAACATTCCACACAAAGATGGACTACAAGCCGTCAAGAACACTATCCCCGATAATGTCACGGCTAACCTGGTGGCTGAACTTTGTGACTTTGTCCTTACCCATAACTATTTCACATTTGGGGACAATGTATACCTTCTGATCAGCGGCACTGCTATGGGTACCCGCATGGCCCCACAGTATGCCAACATTTTTATGGCTGATTTAGAACAACGCTTCCTCAGCTCTCGTCCCCTAAAGCCCCTACTCTACTTGCGCTATATTGATGACATCTTCATCATCTGGACCCATGGAAAAGAAGCCCTTGAGGAATTCCACCATGATTTCAACCATTTCCATCCCACCACCAACCTCAGCCTGGTCCAGTCCACACAAGAGATCCACTTCCTGGACACTACAGTGCTAATAAACAATGGCCACATAAACACCACCCTATACCGGAAACCTACTGACCGCTATTCCTACCTGCATGCCTCCAGCTTTCACCCTGACCACACCACACGATCCATCGTCTACAGCCAAGCTCTGCGATACAACCGCATTTGCTCCAACCCCTCAGACAGAGACAAACACCTACAAGATCTCTGTCAAGCTTTCTTACAACTACAATACCCACCTGCAGAAGTAAAGAAACAGATTGATAGAGCCAGAAGAGTTCCCAGAAGTTACCTACTACAGGACAGGCCTAACAAAGAAAATAACAGAACGCCACTAGCGGTCACCTTCAGCCCCCAACTAAAACCCCTCCAACGCATTATTAAGGATCTACAACCTATCCTAAAGGATGACCCAACACTCTCACAAGTCTTGGGAGACAGGCCAGTCCTTGCCTACAGACAGCCCCGCAACCTGAAGCAAATACTCACCAACAACCACATACCACACAACAGAACCACTAACCCAGGAACTTATCCTTGCAACAAAGCCCGTTGCCAATTGTGCCCACATATCTATTCAGGGGACACCATCACAGGGCCTAATAACATCAGCCACACTATCAGAGGCTCGTTCACCTGCACATCCACCAATGTGATATATGCCATCATGTGCCAGCAATGCCCCTCTGCCATGTACATTGGTCAAACTGGACAGTCTCTACGTAAAAGAATAAATGGACACAAATCAGATGTCAAGAATTATAACATTCATAAACCAGTCGGAGAACACTTCAATCTCTCTGGTCACGCAATCACAGACATGAAGGTCGCTATCTTAAAACAAAAAAACTTCAAATCCAGACTCCAGCGAGAAACTGCTGAATTGGAATTCATTTGCAAATTGGATACTATTAATTTAGGCTTAAATAGAGACTGGGAGTGGCTAAGTCATTATGCAAGGTAGCCTGTTTCCTCTTGTTTTTTCCTACCCCCCCCCCCCAGATGTTCTGGTTTAACTTGGATTTAAACTTGGAGAGTGGTCAGTTTAGATGAGCTATTACCAGCAGGAGAGTGAGTTTGTGTGTGTATGGGGGTGGGGGGGATGTGAGAAAACCTGGATTTATGCAGGAAATAGCCCGACTTGATTATGTAAAGAGTTGTCACTTTGGATGGGCTAGCACCAGCAGGAGAGTGAATTTGTGTGGGGGGGTGGAGGGTGAGAAAACCTGGATTTGTGCTGGAAATGGCCCACCTGATGATCACTTTAGATAAGCTATTACCAGCAGGACAGTGGGGTGGGAGGAGGTATTGTTTCATGATCTCTGTGTGTATATAAAGTCTGCTGCAGTTTCCACGGTATACATCTGATGAAGTGAGCTGTAGCTCACGAAAGCTCATGCTCAAATAAATTGGTTAGTCTCTAAGGTGCTACAAGTACTCCTTTTCTTTTTGCGAATACAGACTAACACGGCTGTTACTCTGAAACCTGTATCACCTCTGTGGCAAAATGTATTTTCTGCAGAGAAAAAAATCGGGGGGGGGGAACACATGAATTCTGCACATGCGCAGTGGTACAGAATGCCCCCAGGAGTAACCTTTCTCCCTCATATCAAAGATCTGAGTGTGCATGAAAGAACAAACAATGCCACCGCCATGTTTTATGTAAACAGGGAGGAACCAGATCAATGATCTGGTGCAGGGAAGCAATGAACACTGTAACACTAATGTAGTTCATCTTCCAGGCCTACACAACATGCTCGCAGACCATCTAAGCAGCATTTTCAGAATCAGAAATTGTTCATAGAGGATTCAGGCGTCAAGTCCATTATCAATCAGAGGGTGCGCCCCACATAGATCTTTTTGTAGCTGAACAGAACAGGAAAGCCAAGTATTTTGTTCCAAGAGAGGACAGAGACCAAGTTCTCAAAGAGATGCCTTCTGATCTCTTGGACTCAGGGCCTGTTGTATGCTATTCCTCCAATTCCATGTGTGAAGGAAGGTCAGACAGTTCAGGGCCTCAGCAGTGGTTCATGGAAATCAGAAATCTCTCAGTGATACCTCCAGTATTGATATGTTTCTGTCAGACTTGATCACTCAGAACAATGGGAAAACATTTCATCCTGATGTATTGTCATGCAATGGAGAAGAATTGTTCCGCTGATGTACAGAGCCTATTGATTAAGCACAGAAAGCAGTCTGCAAGGACAATTTGTACTGCAGAATGAAAACATTCTTCATCCAGAGCTTCCCAACATGACCTTTCTCCCTGAGAGACATCAGTTCCTTATATCCTTGAGTGTCTATTACCTTTAAACACCTCCTCTTTGTCACGAAGCACATTGTGTGTTCATTTGGCTGCTCTCTCTGGACGTCATTCACCAATTCAAGATCATGCTGTTGTTTCTCATCCTTCAGTCAAAAAGTTTGTGAAAGATCTTCTAAGAGTTTTTCCTCTGATAAGCTAACCCCCTCCCTCATGGAATCTTAATGTGGAACGTACAGGTCAGGGCGATCACAAGATAAATATGAATCAAGAGTGTAACGCTGCTGCAAAAAAAGTGAACATCATTCTGGGATGTATTAGCAGGAGTGTTGTAAGCAAGACACAAGAAGTAATTCTTCCGCTCTACTCCACTCTGATGAGGCCTCAGCTACAGTACTATGTCCAGTTCTGGGTGCCACATTTCAGGAAGGATGTGGACAAATTGGAGAAAGTCCAGAGAAGAGCAACAAAAATGATTAAAGGTCTAGAAAACATGACCTGTGAAGGAAGATTGAAAAAATGGGGTTTGTTTAGTCTGGAAAAGAGAAGACTGAGAGGGGACATGAGAACAGTTTTCAAGTACATAAAAGGTTGTTACACGGAGGGAGGTAAATTGTTCTTCTTAACCTCTGAGGATAGGACAAGAAGCAATTGGCTTACATTGCAGCAAAGGAGGTTTAGGTTGGACATTAGGGGAAACTTCCAAACTGTCAGGTTAAGCCCTGAAATAAATTGCCCAGGGAGGTGGTGGAATCTCCATCATTGGGGATTTTTAAGAGCAGGTTGGACAAACACCTGTCAGTGATGGTCTAGATAATACTTAGTCCTGCCACGAGTGCAGGGGACTGGAGTAGCTGACTTCTCAAGGGCCCTTTCAGTTCTATGATTCTATGTTTCTGTGGCGACAAGCCCAGCGTGGAACGGGAAGGAATGAGGTCAATTGACTCAAGCAGCAGCCTGATTGGAGACCCAAGTCAATAACAAATTGAATAAAGTCTACACATGTGAATGGAGGATCTGAAGACACAATAGAAATCCCAATGGCTGGGACAGTCACACCTAGCAACCCCAGCTAAGAGGACGGTGATTTCCCCCACCTCTTGGCAGGAAAGCAACGCAAAGGCCCCAAGCTGGAGAAACAAGGAGAGGGGTCAGGGCAAGCTCTCAGAGACACAGGGGGCTGGCTACAGACAGAGAAAGGGACCAAGACAGAGGAAGGATAGATGGTACCTACAGCAGCCTGGCTCCAGGGAGCCCTGGCGTGGGCCAGTCTGAACTCCCTTAGCCTTGCCTCTCTGCGATGACTTAAGGACTTTCAGGTGACTGATAAATTGTTACCTTGTTTGGAAAGGCTGCCTGGTGGTGCTGCACATACTCATTAAGAGTGTAAGAAAGGGAATGGTCCTGTTCTTGCGGGGAACTTTCGTGGCTTATACACTACCCCGGTGAAATGGGCTAGTGAAAGGATCTGAGTCCTCGCTCCCGCTCCCTTACCCAGAGGCCTGCCTGACTCGAGGGGTCTCCTTCCACTCTCCTGGGTGGCAGAGTCCTCGTAGCCCCGACCAGGGTGGGCCCAAGATTCCTGGGGCTTGACCCCCAATCTGGCTGTTGTACTTAGGACAGGGCTCGGGTGTCCCCACTCCGGGGTGCTCTGTCCACGCCAGGTGCTTCCCTGACCCACTCATCATCACAGACCGTTCAAAGAAAACACGATTTATTCCACAGCAAGTCATTAAAAATTAGGAGAAACTGGGAAAGGTGGAAGGAAAAGCCGTCACCCGCTCTGTGGCCCGGGGGAACCCCAGACAGCCGTGGCTGGATGTCAGGGCAGTTCACGGTCTGTCCCTCACATGGCCCAGGCCCTGCCCAGCTGGCTGCGCTGCAGGGATGCCGCAGGTCAGACACTTGCTCTGGCGGTGGCCACACGCCATCAGGCTCTAGGTGGCAGGGCCCTGCCCCCCAGCATTGCCTTCTCCCCCCCATGGGGGTTACGATCTGGTTGCTGGCACCCGAAGGCCCAATTTTGGAGTGCTGGAGGTCCTAGGCCTGCCCCCATGGAGCTGTGTGGGTCCTGAGTCACTCCCAAGGACATAGACAAGAGTGACAGAGGGATTGTTCATAAAACCATTCCCAACCATTCCCACATTCATCACGTGCCCCACGTCTCTCAAGCATGCCATGCCATGGGCTCCCTCGCCTACCCCTGTGAGACCACCGCGCCCGCTGCTGTTAGGGTGGCCAGTCTTGGCTGGACGTATCCCTGGAGGGGCTATCCCATGACATAAGCTTCAATTAAAGAGTCATCTTTAACTCCTGGAGACTCCAGGACAGTCCTGGAGGGCTGGCAACCCTGCCTGCCATAATAGTAGGGTAGATAAAATAGTAGGGTAGATAAAATTGTAGTGGGCGGGATTGGGTGGGCAAAACAACCACGTGGCAGGAATTTGCAGGAAACCAGTAAAACTCTCCTCAGTTTAGCATGTACAACGTGTGTCTGCATTCCGTGTCTACGGCTCATATGTGGCCTGGTGTGTTTGGGTTTGTGTGTTCATAGCATGGGGCGGGGGAGGCGGCTAGTGCGTGCTCTCTTGCGGGAATTGGGGGGCCACGGGTTTGGCTGGTGGAAGTGGGATAAAAATGCAAGAACCAGTGTGGGGCAGGAGCGGGATTAAAAAATCCAGGGCTCTACTATGGGGGCGTCAGGGTCTGGCTTTGGGGTGTGCCACGAGTCCAGGGGGCCTGGCTGCCTGAGGCCCCCCCCCCGAGTCCAGCCTCACCCGTCTCCTCTCTGCTCGCCAGGAGCTGCTCTTCTACCCGAAGGACGAGCTCCCCAGCGACCTGTTCCAGGCTCTGGGCCAGGTGGTGTCGGATGCGAGCTTCTGCGCTGCCTCCCTGCAGAGTATCAGCAAATCCGCGGCTGCCCTGTGCCAGTGGATCTGCGCCATCTACTGGTACCACCGGGCTCTGCGCATTTGGGAGCCCACTTTGATGCAGCTGCAGCACTGCCAACTCCAGATTCGGGCGGAGAAGGGGCGGCTGGGCGACCGGCACCTGCAGGCTGAGAAGCTGAGAGAGTTGAGCTCGGACTGGGGCGTGGAGCTGCTGAAGGCCACTGAGCATCAGGAGGCGGTGGACCGCGAGCTCCGTCACGTCCTGCAGGAGAAGGAGAAGGCTGGCACTGTTGAGAGCTTGTTGGCAATGCACGTGGCCAACTGGACAGCGGCAGTGAAGGTAATGACTGGGATTGCCTCGTCACGTCCCCTCCCCGACGCCTGGGGCAGCCAGTGTCTCAGGAAGCCAAAGAGCCAGTGCTAAGGATTTGGGGACATATCTCTCCACCCGTTCCTGGGACTCCCCTTCTCTCCTTGCCCTGTACGCTGGGACTCCTGTAGGCCAAGTCCAGCGCTGCCCGGGGCTGCGGCAGTCAGAGCCAGCCCGCGGCACCTCTTGGTGCTGCCAGTGCCCACCTCCAGGATCTGCTCCCCCTGGCTGGAGGGAGGGGCCGTGTGTCGAGTTAGTCTGTCTTGGTGTGAGGGTTGGAGATATGAGTATAGACTCTGGATGCAGGGGTCTCTGGGAGTGGAGATTGGGGTGAAGAGGATCTGGGAGCAGGGCTCCCTCTGGGGGTGGGGTCTGGGTGTGGGGCTCTCCCCCGGGGTCAGGGATCGGGTTCTGGGGGCAGGCCTTCTCCTAGGGGTGGGGTTCCCTGCTGACCCTGCCTTGTCTCCTGACAGCTCCTGGAGCAGAACTGCAGCACGGCCCAGGGGGACGCACTCCTTTGTGCAGCCGCTGTCTCCTACTTGGGTGCCTTCCCCCCACCGCGGCGCCAGGAGCTGCTGGAGAAGTGGCAGGATATCTGTGCCAGGCGCCAAAGCTCCCTGGGGCCAGACGACGTGCGGAGGGTGCTGGAGAAGGAGCTGCCCTGCCCTGGCCCGGCCCCCCGTGGCCCAGCCCTGCTCCCTGTGCGACAGGACTTCTGCCTGCTGACCATGCTGAGCTCAGAGAGGGAGCAGCGTGCCTGGGACAGGGCCCGGAAGCCACAGGACTTGGCCGGGCGCCAGGCCGCCCTGCTGCTCTGCACAGACACTCGCGCCTGCTCCCGCGGCTGGCCCCTGCTGCTCGACCCTGACCAGCAGGCCCTCACCTGGCTCCTCATGGCACAGAAAGTGGATGAGGGTGAGTGAGGGGAATGAGAAGCCAGGCCTGGGACCAGCTAACCCCCCACCCCAGCACCTGACCCTCTGCCTCGGGTGGGTAGTGAATGAGCCCTCATAGAATCATAGAATCATCATAGAATATCAGGGTTGGAAGGGACCCCAGAAGGTCATCTAGTCCAACCCCCTGCTCAAAGCAGGACCAATTCCCAGTTAAATCATCCCAGCCAGGGCTTTGTCAAGCCTGACCTTAAAAACCTCTAAGGAAGGAGATTCTACCACCTCCCTAGGTAACGCATTCCAGTGTTTCACCACCCTCTTAGTGAAAAAGTTTTTCCTAATATCCAATCTAAACCTCCCCCACTGCAACTTGAGACCATTACTCCTCGTTCTGTCATCTGCTACAATTGAGAACAGTCTAGAGCCATCCTCTTTGGAACCCCCTTTCAGGTAGTTGAAAGCAGCTATCAAATCCCCCCTCATTCTTCTCTTCTGCAGGCTAAACAATCCCAGCTCCCTCAGCCTCTCCTCATAACTCATGTGTTCCAGTCCCCTAATCATTTTTGTTGCCCTTCGCTGGACTCTCTCCAATTTATCCACATCCTTCTTGAAGTGTGGGGCCCAAAACTGGACACAGTACTCCAGATGAGGCCTCACCAATGTCGAATAGAGGGGAACGATCACGTCCCTCGATCTGCTCGCTATGCCCCTACTTATACATCCCAAAATGCCATTGGCCTTCTTGGCAACAAGGGCACACTGCTGACTCATATCCAGCTTCTCGTCCACTGTCACCCCTAGGTCCTTTTCCGCAGAACTGCTGCCGAGCCATTCGGTCCCTAGTCTGTAGCTGTGCATTGGGTTCTTCCGTCCTAAGTGCAGGACCCTGCACTTATCCTTATTGAACCTCATCAGATTCAGCCCTCTGCTACTGGGGACCAGTGGCTCTAGAGAGAGAGGTAATTCCTTCTGCCAGCAGCTCCAGGACCCTCCAAGCAGCACAGCTCAGGTTCCTGGAGTCTCCTGAAGCCTTGGAAACAAGCAGGGAGAACTGGAGGTCCTGGTGATGTCAAGGAATTATGACGTGATTGGAATAACAGAGACTTGGTGGGATAACTCACATGACTGGAGTACTGTCATGGATGGTTATAAACTGTTCAGGAAGGACAGGCAGGGCAGAAAAGGTGGGGGAGTAGCCCTGTATGTAAGGGAGCAGTATGACTGCTCAGAGCTCCGGTACGAAACTGCAGAAAAACCTGAGTGTCTCTGGATTAAGTTTAGAAGTGTGAGCAACAAGAGTGATGTTGTGGTGGGAGTCTGCTATAGACCACCAGACCAGGGGGATGAGGTGGATGCGGCTTTCTTCCAGCAGCTCACGGAAGCTACTAGATCGCACGCCCTGGTTCTCATGGGTGACTTTAATTTTCCTGATATCTGCTGGGAGAGCAATACAGCGGTGCATAGACAATCCAGGAAGTTTTTGGAAAGCGTAGGGGACAATTTCCTGGTGCAAGTGCTAGAGGAGCCAACTAGGGGGGGAGCTTTTCTTGACCTGCTGCTCACAAACCGGGTAGAATTAGTGGGGGAAGCAAAAGTGGATGGGAATCTGGGAGGCAGTGACCATGAGTTGGTTGAGTTCAGGATCCTGACACAGGGAAGAAAGGTAAGCAGTAGGATACGGACCCTGGACTTCAGGAAAGCAGACTTCGACTCCCTCAGGGAATGGATTTGTAGGATCCCCTGGGGGACTAACATGAAGGGGAAAGGAGTCCAGGAGAGCTGGCTGTATTTCAAGGAATCCCTGTTGAGGTTACAGGGACAAACCATCCCGATGTGTGGAAAGAATAGTAAATATGGCAGGCGACCAGCTTGGCTTAACGGTGAAATCCTAGCGGATCTTAAGCATAAAAAAGAAGCTCACAAGAAGTGGAAGGTTGGACAAATGACCAGGGAAGAGTATAAAAATATTGCTCGGGCATGTAGGAATGAAATCAGGAGGGCCAAATCGCACCTGGAGCTGCAGCTAGCGAGAGATGTTAAGAGTAACAAGAAGGGTTTCTTCAGGTATGTTGGCAACAAGAAGAAAGCCAAAGAAAGTGTGGGCCCCTTAATGAATGAGGGAGGCAACCTAGTGACAGAGGCTGTGGAAAAAGCTAATGTACTCAATGCTTTTTTTGCCTCTGTCTTCACGAACAAGGTCAGCTCCCAGACTGCTGCACTGGGCATCACAACATGGGGAATAGATGGCCAGCCCTCTGTGGAGATAGAGGTGGTTAGGGACTATTTAGAAAAGCTGGACGTGCACAAGTCCATGGGGCCGGACGAGTTGCATCTGAGAGTGCTAAAGGAACTGGCGGCTGTGATTGCAGAGCCATTGGCCATTATCTTTGAAAACTCGTGGCGAACGGGGGAAGTCCCGGATGACTGGAAAAAGGGTAATGTAGTGCCAATCTTTAAAAAAGGGAAGAAGGAGGATCCTGGGAACTACAGGCCAGTCAGCCTCACTTCAGTCCCTGGAAAAATCATGGAGCAGGTCCTCAAAGAATCAATCCTGAAGCACTTACATGAGAGGAAAGTGATCAGGAACAGTCAGCATGGATTCACCCAGGGAAGGTCATGCCTGACTAATCTAATCGCCTTCTATGATGAGATTACTGGTTCTGTGGATGAAGGGAAAGCAGTGGATGTATTGTTTCTTGACTTTAGCAAAGCTTTTGACACGGTCTCCCACAGTATTCTTGTCAGCAAGTTAAAGAAGTATGGGCTGGATGATTGCACTATAAGGTGGGTAGAAAGTTGGCTAGATTGTCGGGCTCAACGGGTAGTTATCAATGGCTCCATGTCTAGTTGGCAGCCGGTGTCAAGTGGAGTGCCCCAGGGGTCGGTCCTGGGGCCGGTTTTGTTCAATATCTTCATAAATGATCTGGAGGATGTTGTGGATTGCACTCTTAGCAAATTTGCGGATGATACTAAACTGGGAGGAGTGGTAGATACGCTGGAGGGCAGGGATAGGATACAGAGGGACCTAGACAAATTGGAGGATTGGGCCAAAAGAAATCTGATGAGGTTCAATAAGGATAAGTGCAGGGTCCTGCACTTAGGACGGAAGAACCCAATGCACAGCTACAGACTAGGGACCGAATGGCTCGGCAGCAGTTCTGCGGAAAAGGACCTAGGGGTGACAGTGGACGAGAAGCTGGATATGAGTCAGCAGTGTGCCCTTGTTGCCAAGAAGGCCAATGGCATTTTGGGATGTGTAAGTAGGGGCATAGCGAGCAGATCGAGGGACGTGATCGTCCCCCTCTATTCGACATTGGTGAGGCCTCATCTGGAGTACTGTGTCCAGTTTTGGGCCCCACACTACAAGAAGGATGTGGATAAATTGGAAAGAGTCCAGCGAAGGGCAACAAAAATGATTAGGGGTCTGGAACACATGACTTATGAGGAGAGGCTGAGGGAACTGGGATTGTTTAGTCTGCGGAAGAGAAGAATGAGGGGGGATTTGATAGCTGCTTTCAACTACCTGAGAGGTGGTTCCAGAGAGGATGGTTCTAGACTATTCTCAGTGGTGGAAGAGGACAGGACAAGGAGTAACGGTCTCAAGTTGCAGTGGGGGAGGTTTAGGTTGGATATTAGGAAAACCTTTTTCACTAGGAGGGTGGTGAAACACTGGAATGCGTTGCCTAGGGAGGTGGTGGAATCTCCTTCCTTGGAAGTTTTTAAGGTCAGGCTTGACAAAGCCCTGGCTGGGATGATTTAATTGGGGATGGGTCCTGCTTTTGAGCAGAGGGTTGGACTAGATGACTTCCTGAGGTCCCTTCCAACCCTGATATTCTATGATTCTATGAAAAGTTTCCCCAGCCCCATCCGGGGCCTCAGGGAAGGAAGGCCCCTTCTGTGAGCCCCTTTTCAGGCTCTGAGTAGGAACCGTCTCCTGTCTCCTGCAGACGAGTCCCTGCTCTTCGCCGGCTTGGACACGCTGTCCAGCACCGAGGAGCCAGGAAGCAACGAAGAGTCACCTGAGAAAAATCTCCAGGTGCTGTCGGCTGCAGACCCCAGGCTGGAGCAGAACCTCCTGGCTGCAGCCAGCACTGGTAAGGGCGGGCGTGTGAGCCGTGACCAGCTGCAGTGCAGGGCGTGGGGTCGACACGGCATGCCCCCAGCATGCCACTGGGCCTGACCTGGCTTCCAGAGACTCTGGGACCCCAGCGTACACCCCCTGCAGACAACTGGCCTCCACCGTGCTGGGGGCCCAGCGGGGCTCCCCAGAGACACTAGGGCCAGGCCTGCATTCTCTGAGTCAGATGGTTATTGCATGCTGGGAACCCGCACCCTCAGTAGGTAGGGAGCTGGGCAGGCTGAGGAGGGCTGGGCAAGCGATGGGGGTCAGGCTATGGGGGGCTGGGCAGGTGATGGAGAGCAGGCTATGGGGGCCTGGGCAGGCTGAGGGGGACTGGGCAGATGATGGGGGGGTCAGGCGGTGGGGGGCTGGGCAGGCAATGGGGGTCAGGCTGTGGGGGGCTGGGTAGGCGATGGGGGTCAAGCTCTGGGGGGCTGGGCAGGTGATGGTGGGCAGGCTGTGGGGGGCTGGGCAGGCGATGGGAGTCAGGCTGTGGGGGACTGGGGAGGAGATGGGGTAGGGAGCTGGGCAGGTGATGGGGGTCAGGCTCTGGGGGGCTGGGCAGGCAATGGGGGTCAGGCTTGGGGGGGCTGGGCAGGTGATGGGCAGGCGGTGCGGGGCTGGGCAGACTGAGGGGAACTGGGCAGGCAATGGAGGGCAGGCGGTGGGGGGCTGGGCAGGCAATGGGGGTCCAGCTGGGCCGGTGGTGGGGCAGGAGCTGGGCCCTGGTGGCGCAGCAGGGGGATAACTGAGGCTGTTTCCCCAGGGTTGCCCGTCCTGCTCCTGGACTTTGAGAAGAGCCCCGGCTGCCCGGTTCTCCTGCAGCTCCTGCAGAAGGAGACGCTGCTGGGTGTGGGGGGCTGCACCCTGCGCTCAGAATCGCTCGGGGCTGTGGAGGTGCTGCCCTCCTTCCGGCTCTACCTGAGCACCACCCTGCCGCTCCGTGACTTGGGGAAAGGTAAGCAGGACAGGGCAAGCCAGGCGCTGGGGCTTCCCACCCTCCAGAGAACACTGCCTGTCATCTTTAAACCCCCTGCTTCCCCTTTGCTTCTCCCCCTGGGGCTCCCTACCAGGGACCAGCGACAGACCCCCCCCATAGCTCGTGCTGAGCGGTGTGAGGCAGGGTTAGCTCTTCCCCTCTCTTCCAGGACTTGGCCTGGCTGGGCCTTTTGGGGAAGGAGGGGCAGGGCTGAGCACAGGTTGCTGGAGGGTGACTTCCCAGAGCCCTGCCGAGAGGGGCTCCATCTCCCTGCTCCCGGTGCAGTCCCCATCTCATGGCGGGTTTTGGCTCTTTGTATGGGCTTTAGCATAGGGGCCATCCAGTGTTGCCCAGAGATATCCCTACTCCAAAGACACAGCGCATTATAAACAGCCTTAGTTCTACCAGGAGTGGTCCAGAGTTCCCAGTGGCTCTGGAGAGGAGCTGGGACCTAACTGGACATTGGCTTTTGGCCTCCTGGCTGGGGGAGAAGGACCCTGAGGTCAAAAGGGGGCGACAGTGGAGAGGCACGGTGCTGACTTTCATTCTCTCTCCAGCAGCTGTTCAGTGCTGTGCCTGGCACAGGGGATTAATAGCATTAAGGCCAGAAGGGACCATTAGATCAGTGACTGACGGACTTCTTGATGTCAGCTGGCAGCATGCACAGGAGTACACAGTGGTACAGGGGTCCATCCTCAGAGCTATATGGTCGGGAGCTTTACGCTCCTGGGAGGGTCTCCCAAGGCAAACGGGTCTGAGGGGAGGTCCCAGACAAAGCATGATCCAATCCCCCAAGTCCTCA